AAGACGAAGCGCTGGGCAGCATCGGCTGAGGACATGATCGACTTCGCCGTCGCCGTGCTCGGCGACGACATCGAGGTGCGATCCACAGCGAACACGAAGGGGTCGAAGGGGAACATCCTTATCGGAAATGTGAGGGGGGTGAACGGCGGTAAAGTTACCAAGTCGGTGAGCTGCCACCAGAGCCTGTTCCCCTACATGGTTTATTATTGCCACTCGGTTCCGCGCGTACGCGTTTATTTGGCAGAGATCCTGGCCGTTGATACGAAGGAGAAGATCAATCAAGGGGTTGCCATCTGTCACATAGACACGTCAGACTGGAGTCCGACTCACGGGGCATTCGTGGCGCTGGGGCCCGGACCGGGAAAGATTGAGGTGTGCCATTGGATTTTTGAAGGGGATATGACGTGGACCGTTGCTGACCGTGCGTGATTTTCAGCCGGGAACCGGTTGTTGATGGAATAAGGCAGGGGGGGAGGACTACGGTTTCGATTTAATAAATTATTATTAAAATATATGTATGTTTTCTTGGGGTTTGTTCGTAGTCTTCTGCCTTTAAAGTCTATGCCATTTAATGTGTTTATTATTTGTGGAGATTATTTTGCTTATTTGTTTTGGGAAGATTATGTTTTAGATGGCATCCTTCTCAGAAAAAATATACGTTCTATTAGGGGTGTAAACGAACCGAACACGAACGAACAAAGCTTGTGTTCGTGTTCGGTTCGTTTAAAATTTAGTTTGTTTGAAATAAGCTCGTGTTAATATATTATTATTATTATTTTATTATATATTATAATTTATAAAATTTAATGTTTTAGAATATAATAAATTTTTTATATATAATTATTTTATATTATTTTATATTTCAAACAATAACGATTCGAACACGAACGAACGCATCACTGTTCGTGTTTGGTTCGTTTAACTAACCGAACCAAAAAAATTTGTTCGCGTTTGTCTCGTTTACTTATCGAACGAATCGAACACGAACTCATTGACGAACCGAACACGAACTGTTCGCGAACAACGAGCTTTTTTGACAGTCCTACGTTCTATTGTGGGAATATGATTGCTTTTTTGTTTTACATATGTATATTATATATAGAAAATCAATCATAAGTTATATTATATTATTTTAAAATATAATTTATGTTTGATTAGAGTTCTTTCCTTTTGTGGTTGTTCTGCTTTTAAAAGGCCTGGTAAGAGTGGTGATCAAGTTTTGTGGGGTCAGGCCCATCATAATCATGATAAATTTATTTATATAGTAAATAAAATTATTATTTTGTTTTATTAACATTTTTATACGCCTAGTACTTATTATTGTAATATTTAATAATTATTAATTTGAATCCAAATTTGTCTATGAACAATATCTCATGGGATAGTGTAGGACAAGGGAGAAAATAGAATGAAAAAGACTAGTGCAAAGTAAAAGAAAAAAGAGAGAGAAAATGCTCTCCTTCATTGTATAGGATATAATACAATGCGGTGAAATTCCACTAATACCCCTGCATTAATAGAGATGTTACAAGATATTCTAGACATTGTACATAAGTAGCTACAAGGCTCAGCTGCTCTCCATCTCTCCTAACTGGACTTGCGAGACTTCAACTTGGCGAGGTCGGTTTAGTTGTCTAGATATAGTCATTACCATCAGTCGGCTAGTCCTGATTTGTTTGATTCAGGTTCAGGTCACTTGGTTGCTTTTAAAACTTGGTAAACCATTCATTTATAATATATGGTTAGAAATTGGGCCTCAAAGACTTCTGTCAGTGAGCCCTCACTTGAAGTTCTTCTTCTGGACCATCAAATCTTCTCAGGATTAGTGCTGACACATTATATATATATATATATATATATATTCTACTAGAAGACAGAGTTACCAGCCTGTGTAGCATCTGATCTAAGGAAAATGACCCTTCATAATGGAAATTTTGGCTTATCCTCCATCCAGTGACAGTCCTGGTGGATATCTTCTCATTCGTCTCATTTTCTATAACTATCACTCCCCCTTTTTTTAGGTACGCAGTGAATGAGACTGGCCCAGACACTATCTGAGATGGGGTAGATAATGCATTCATCGAGCCATTTCAAGATTTCTTTCTTCAGCACCTCTTTCATTACATGGTTTAATCTCCTCTAGGGGTCAGCCTTAGATACATATCCCTCTTCCAACAAGGTTCGATGCAAGCATTGGAGGGGATGATACCTTTTATTTCTGTTATTGTCCACTCAAATGCTTTCATAAAAGTCCTAAGTACCTTCAGTAATTTCCCCTCTTGCTCCTCACTTAGATATGTTGAAATGATCACAGGTAAGGTTGAGGGTTCCCCCATGTAGGCATATTTGAGGTGTTCAGGCAAGGCTTTTTGTTATAACTCGGGAGTTACTCTATGGATAACACAAGTGGTTTGACATTGGTGTCAGTGTCCAAAAGTTCAAATCTTTCCTTATAAGGTACATGATTCCTCTCAAGTAGTAGAGCAAATTCTTCCTTGTGTGTCACATCCTTATCCTCAATTTTTGTTGGCTCTTTAAGGCATTTTTCTAGATTATCCATAAATTATCTGATCACTACCTGGTCCACTATTTCAATTCCATGGCATTGATATTCACCCAAATCACTTGGAAACCTCATTAATTTTGAAATGTAAAAGATGTCTTCTTTATCAATCAGTCTCATTGTAAAGTTTCCTTCTGGAACGTTAATCATTGGCCTTCCAGTAGTTATAAATGGGCTTCCCACTATTAATGATATTTCTTTATCTTCTACTATATTTAACACTACAAAGTCAATAGGGAATATGAATTTGTCTATCTTCACAAGCCCATCCTCATTGATTCTTATATGGTAGGCTAAGGATCAGTTTGCTAACTGTAAGGTTAAATTGTTTTTCAGGACATTTCCTAACTCAAGCCTTTTGAAAATGGACAATGTCATCAGGTTAATGCTTACTCCTAAGTCACACATAGTTCTTTCCATTTTTGTTTACCAATTACACAAGAAATGGTAAAGCTTCCTAGTCTTTCATCTTTCAAGGAAGCTCCTTTTGCAAGATAGCACTACATTCCTCAATCAATGGGACTATCTCAAAATTCTCTAATATGCCCTTTCTAGTCAAGACATCCTTCATGAATATGTGGCATAACTTGTCATCTACTCTAATGCTTCAACAAAGGGTATGTTTATGGTAAGCTATTTGAATACTTCTAAGAATCTAGAGAATTTTGTATCCTCTTTTTTGTCTTTTTTCAGCCTTAGGAGAAAAGATAGAGGTAGTCTCTCTTCAAGGTCAATCTTAATCAGTGAGATAGGTCCCTCTACCTCATTATCCTGAGTTTCTGGTTCACCATATTTGGAAGGGTCTACGCCCACTAGGCCTTACCTCTCAGGAGTCACTTTTAACTCTTTAACAACTTGGACTAGCTCTCTCCCTTTATTCTTGTGATTTACTTCAGTGTTACTTAGGAGTGTATCTGGGGTTTATTATTTGCAACTTTCGCCAACAGTCCTAATTGATGTTCAATGTTTTTAATAGCTATAACTTGGCTCAGTAATTGGTTCCTCATTTGAATATCTAACTTCTCAATGAGTGATTTCTTTTGGCTTTGAGAATTAGCCTGAAATCTTGGTGGATAATGTTGCTTATTTGATTAATTTCCAGAGTTTTGCCAACCATCTACATGGTTGTTCTGATCGTCCTTCCATTGCTCGTTTTTTTTATTCCAACATAAATTTGGGTTGTTCCTCCAGCTTAGGTTGTAGGTCTTGGAATATAGGTTATGGCCATGAGTTCCTATGGCATCCACATATTCTAAGGCCGAGATGCTATGTTCTATCATCGATCGTTAAATTATCTCATCGTTAAGTGGCAGTCCATACATCAGATTGATTCCTAGATTGCCTTTTTTTTTTTAGAAATTGTAGCTACTTGGTGTCGGTCGATTTTTTAGGAATAATTTTATTTAATATGCATAGTTTTTTTTAAGTTATATTTTAATTTTTAAAAATGAGGTCTGGTAAATCTCATACATTTAATAGTTTAGATAGTTGAGCACAATACCAGAAGTAATACACCACCCTGAAAGATAAGTATATCACTTGTTAGTAGGCTCAACCATTTAAACCAAGAAATTTATGACTCTTATTTGGTCTGCGAAATTTGTGACTGACGATTCCCTTATCTAATATAAAGATTAGAAAGGTTTTATAGTATTTAGGTACCTAATTCCCTTAGGGGGCATGCCCCCATAGTTAATTACATCTTAAGCAACCAAAGTCACTTTAGAAAACTCTACATTAAGATCAAGTGTTTCGTCTTCAAGAATTCAAAGTTAATTTTTCACGGCTTGTAGGAAAATCAATTGGGAAGGGCTCAAATAGGAACAATTATTTTGGAGATCAAATGAGCGTGAGGTAGGGGATGTTGCAGATCTTGAGGCGAATCTCAATGACCTCCCAAACTATTCTTTTGTTTGGTTTTACATCTTCAAAATATTGTTATTTGATGTTTACTCCTACCATTTATTTAAATTTTAAGGCGTTCACTTGCACGATATACTATCGTGCATATCGTGTAGATAGACTATGAGGATAGGAGAATTTACGCCGTACCGAACGAACAATCTCGGAATCCTAAACAAAGTTAGAGCTTATATTGTGCAATATGACTGTGTAGAAGCATAAGGGATAAAGTGAGGATTTATGTCGTATTAAACAGACAACTTCAAAGTCCTATGTGTTTATATTATTTAAGTATAAGGAAAGTTTAGTTGAAGTTCATCTTTCGCTTCATGTTGAGACTTGACCGCCATCTGAAGTTGTCCTCTGTCTGCTTGCATCATCATCTTGCTTCCTAGACAGCTTGCTCAAAGCTTCCTGCTTGTGATGGTTTTGGGTTTTAAGAAGTGTGTTCAAACTAGTGATTATTAGTTATTGTTGGGTCACGGAGTTTTACTATAGGGTTCCTACTAAACATGTGGCCTACATATATAGTAAATTATACATAAATAGAAAACATATAACAAAATATAATAAGGAAAGTACAGTAAAAGATAAAGTAGTAGCGTGTACCTGTCACCTCTGATGTCGCTGCTAAAGAGTTAAAATTAAATGTAAAGCGTGCACATATTACGAAAGATTAAAAAAATACAAGACATGAGTATATGTGTATATAAAAATTCAAGTAGCACATATATGAAAGATCAGAGCTGGGAATAAAAGTTTAAGCTAGGGGTGGCTCAGACTCAAGACCAGTGGAATTGTTAGTTCTCGAGGGTCAACCATAAGCTTTTTGTTTGCATGCATAAAATCCAAGTTTGGGCAGAAGCAACCAACAAGATGATCAAAGGAGGGCAACTCCAAGCCCAATCGAGGTGACTCACAAGTGGACCCGTGGAAGGCAACGCCCACAATTCTTAATTTGTCAGACATATAAATAAAGTTAAATTTCTCTTAACAATAAAAAATATTAGTGTTACGAGAAAAAAAAAAAGATTTTTGTTATATTATATATGTGTTTGGTAAATCAGATGGTCCACGAGTTACTCATGTTGTTGGGCTAAGACTGTCAACAACCTCAGAAAGCATGGGCAGCTTCTCGTCAAATGTTGGCGAATAGTAGCATGGATCCTACATCCTCTAGAAGTCATCGAGTCAGGAGAAGTACTCTTCTATTATCCTACACCAAAAGCGTTTCACATCACCGTGCATATCCACGTCACCTTCCACATATAGCCCTGCTCAATGATTCATATATGATTGCCACAAAAACTGTGGTTCATATGCACATTTCTACAATTTTTTTTCTTTTGGATTAATATTCGCCATAGTCTTTTTAAGCAATCCAAAATATCACTATATTGACTTTTTTTTTAAAAAAAAGAAATGTGCCATTTTAGGCATATGTAAAGAGTGGTATATATTGGAAAAATAAAAGTTTAGGTGTTAAATATTTAAATACATAGGAAATGAGTGATATGGATGCAAATCTTCTATTTTTAACACATAATTTCATTTAAAGAAATTACTGAAAAATTACAGATAATTAGTAGTAATGCCTTCGATTTTATGAGCAGAAAATATAGTGAAATAAATAAAGCTTATGGTAAGTTAAGATTAAAATGAAATTAAGATACTAATTCGCAGCGCCAACAAAAGTATTTTTTTTAAAAGGAAGATTTATATACATACCACAGGAATATTATGAATTCACATATCTTGGGCAGGATCGGAGCATGCAAGGTAAAGGGCAAAGTTTCACCGAACGAAGGCATCAGGAAGGAGGAGATTTAGTTAACCAAGTGCTTCGGGAAGACAAGCTCGAAGGGTCAACCTTAGCCAAGTGGGAAGCTGACAGACGTCACGAGAGATGAAGCAGGCGTCCTTGGGAAGGAGGGTTTTGGGCAGAGGGTGTTGGGTCAACGAAGGAGCCGGGGGCAAGTGAGGGAGGGCGCTAGGGTTTTTTTTCTTTTCTTTTTTATTTTTTATATTTTCATTTTACTTTATTTATTTTTCTATCATTTAATTAAACACATCAATTCGTATGTGATTTGCTCGTGCACAGAATCATACAGTGTAAGTGTCTTTTCTAGGTAAAATTGACGTTCCGGATGCACTCGCACGGTCTGTTTCGTCATCTAGTTTCATCCGAATTAGCTTGTTGATGATCGAGCCAATTTAAATTCAATTCAAGTGTGGCGTGGCGAATAACATTCGTTGATCTAATTGGTGTCGTCCGACAAACAAAATGCCGACCGGTTCTCGCCTGAGCAACGACCAAGGTCTAGCAAAAAATGAAATCAACATTTTGCTTGAGTTTGTTTTCCATGCCGTTTTATAGGAATTAAGGGTATGAAAATCAATGAATCTCAATCATTGAATCATAAAACAATCATAAATATTTTTTTTTGTTTTAATGTTAAATTCACTTGTTCTTATTGCAACATGAATTTCAAAATGTAAGAAAATAAAAAATTATATAAATAGAAATGTGTCCAAAAGGAAGCAAAAGAAAGACAACCAAGTGACCTGAACCTAAAAGACTTTATCAGAAACGAGGCAATGAATTGTTTGAACCTATCACCACTGTGAAACTGACCCAATTGGGAGCTAATCCTTCAGATCATGTGGTTATATCAGGGACATCTGATGACCCTCACAAATTATCAGGAGGTAATATTATCAAGCCCTAACCATAAAAAATGAATATCTTTATCAAAAGGTAACTATTTATCAGATCACGATATTTTACCATCTGCCCGATATTTATTTCACAATTTGGCTGATATTCTAACATTAGTCTGCTGATAAGAATCTCTTAATAGGGATTGCAAGTCGATGACTACACCAGAGCTACCGATCAGAGAAGCTTAACCGACCGAATCAGCTCTGCCGACCCCCAAACCAATCAGGAATAGCAGACCAGTGCAATGAACATGTATAGACAACTGAATCGACCTCACCAAGTTGAGGTCTCGCAAGCCCAGTTAGGAGAGATAGAGAATGGCTGAACCCTGTAGCTACTTATGTGTATTGTTTAGAATATCATGTAACATCTTTATTAAAGTAGGGATATTAGTGTAATTTCTCCACATTATAATCTATCCTATATAAATAAGCAGAGCATTTCATGAATAAAAGGTTAATTTTTTTTCTGAGAAGGATGCTATCTAAAACATAATATTCCCAAAACAAATAAGGAAAATAATCTCTACAAATAATAACACATTAAATGGCATACACTTTAAAGGCAGAAGACTACGTACAACCCCCAAGGAAACATACATATACTTTAATAATAATTTATATAGAAACATAAATCGGAACGGTAGTCCTCCCCCTTGCCTTATTCCATCATCAACCGGTTCCCGGCTGAAAATCACGCACGGTCAGCAACGGTCCACGTCATATCCCCTTCAAAAATCCAATGGCATACCTCAATCTTCCCCGGTCCAGGCCCCAGCGCCACGAATGCCCCGTGAGTCGGACTCCAGTCTGACGTGTCAATGTGACAGATGGCAACCCCTTGATTGATCTTCTCCTTCGTATCAACGGCCAGGATCTCCGCCACATAAACGCGTACGCGCGGCACCGAGTGGCAATAATAAACCATGTAGGGGAACAGGCTCTGGTGGCAGCTCACCGACTTGGTAACTTTACCGCCGTTCACCCCCCTCACCATTCCGATAAGGATGTTCCCCTTCGACCCCTTCGTGTTCGCCGTGGATCGCACCTCGATGTCGTCGCCGAGCACGGCGACGGCGAAGTCGATCATGTCCTCAGCCGATGCTGCACAGCGCTTCGTCTCGCCGCGGCTCGGAGCGCGCTCGCAATCTGCTATAGTTGAATCCACCGCTTTACCCATGGCGGTGTCTGGCAAGATGTGGAAGATTCCGTCAACGGCGACAGCGGAGAACAGGATCTTACCGGCGACTGGCAGGTTTTGGAAGATTCCGTCGACGGCGGCGGCGGAGAACGGGATCTTACCGGCGATCGAACGCGGGAGAAACGATCGCGGCGGCATCCGGTCGCGAATATCCGGCATCGGCATCACAGTCCCCTTCTTCAAGTTTCGTTCACGAAAGAACTTCCCCGGCTCGACGAATCGTTTCGCGGCGGCTTGTTTCATTGCTGCGATCGCGGGTGAAGTCGAAGAGGAAGAGGAATTGTGATATTCTTTGAAATCAATGCCGGTTTTGGCATAGGATTTGAAGCTGGTGTTGTCGGCAAAGTATTCCTTGAATGTGATTTGATCATTTAAGGAACCCTCACCATAGCCCTTGAAGTTATCGCTGCCGGGATTAGCAGAGTTTCCGTAATTTGTGAAATCGGCTGTTCCTGCGTTGCCGCCCTTTTCATATGAGATGAAGAAATTGTCTCCCACGTTTGATTGATCACGATAGCTGTTGAATTTATCGAATCCGACGTTGGCTCCATCGCCGTACGACCGGAAATTGTTCTCCGGCACATTCCCGTTCTCTCCATACGAAGTGAATCGCCGTACGACCTAAAATTGTTCTCCGGCACATTCCCGTTCTCTCCATAGGAACTGAAGGTATCGTTTCCCCCATTCCCTTCCTCGCCGTACGACCTAAAATTGTTCTCCGGCACATTCCCGTTCTCTCCATAGGAACTGAAGGTATCGTTTCCCCCATTCCCTTCCTCGCCGTACGACCTAAAATTGTTCTCCGGCACATTCCCGTTCTCTCCATAGGAACTGAAGGTATCGTTTCCCCCATTCCCTTCCTCGCCGTACGACCTAAAATTGTTCTCCGGCACATTCCCGTTCTCTCCATAGGAACTGAAGGTATCGTTTCCCCCATTCCCTTCCTCGCCGTACGACCTAAAATTGTTCTCCGGCACATTCCCGTTCTCTCCATAGGAACTGAAGGTATCGTTTCCCCCATTCCCTTCCTCGCCGTACGACCTAAAATTGTTCTCCGGCACATTCCCGTTCTCTCCATAGGAACTGAAGGTATCGTTTCCCCCATTCCCTTCCTCGCCGTACGACCTAAAATTGTTCTCCGGCACATTCCCGTTCTCTCCATAGGAACTGAAGGTATCGTTTCCCCCATTCCCTTCCTCGCCGTACGACCTAAAATTGTTCTCCGGCACATTCCCGTTCTCTCCATAGGAACTGAAGGTATCGTTTCCCCCATTCCCTTCCTCGCCGTACGACCTAAAATTGTTCTCCGGCACATTCCCGTTCTCTCCATAGGAACTGAAGGTATCGTTTCCCCCATTCCCTTCCTCGCCGTACGACCTAAAATTGTTCTCCGGCACATTCCCGTTCTCTCCATAGGAACTGAAGGTATCGTTTCCCCCATTCCCTTCCTCGCCGTACGACCTAAAATTGTTCTCCGGCACATTCCCGTTCTCTCCATAGGAACTGAAGGTATCGTTTCCCCCATTCCCTTCCTCGCCGTACGACCTAAAATTGTTCTCCGGCACATTCCCGTTCTCTCCATAAGAAGTGAAAGTTTCGTTTACCGCATTTCCTTCCTCGCCGTAATGTGTAAACGTACTTCCGATCACATTGCTGTTATTCGCATAGGAACTGAAATCAGATGTTCCGCCATTGCCGTTCTTCCCGTAGCTATTGAACGACTGGTTGCCGACGTTCGTTCTAACGGAATACTGTGAAAAACGTCCTTCGCGGCCGGTGCCTTCTGCGGCGTAATTAGTAAATTTAAGGTCAGGTACATTGGAGAATTCATCGTAGGCAGAGAAATCATCGGTTCCGCCGGCGGTGTTTGTGCCATAAGAGGTGAAATTTGCGGTGACGACATTGCCATTGGGAGCATAAAAGGAGAACTTGTCATCGTGCCCGGCGGAGTCACGGCCGTAGCGGCGGAAGGTGTCTAGGGGTACGTTGAGGTTATCAGAGTAGTTTTTAAAGGAGGAGAGGCCGTCGGCGGAGCCAGTGCCGTAGTTGGTGAAGTTGCTGTTCTGGTAGACGCCGAAGCTGGAGTCGCGGGGGTGGGAGGAGAGGGAAGGGGTGAGGTCTGTGGGGCAGAGTAGACCTGCGGCGGAGCAGAAGGAGGTGAGATGGGAGGAAATAAGTGAAGGATCGGAGGCGGCGAGGTTGAAGAATGTGGTGGCATCGGAGGCTGAAAGAGGGGTGAGTTTGGAGAGTAGGAACGAAGGGTGAGGAAGATTGTTGGGGATTTTGCGGTTCCAATAACGGATTAAGGCTGCTTTTTCGGTGAATGGGTTTGGGGATGGGGAAGTCAAAGCGGGGGATGAAATGAGGAGGAAGAAGAAGAAGAAGAAGAGTAGGAGGAAGGGAGCGGCCATGGAAGGAAGGGGAAATGATTGCTGTGTTGGTGTGTGAGGAGAGGCGATGAATTGGCTATATATCCATATAACATATTATTGATAAGAAACAGGGAAAGTTTAATGCTGTCTCACATAATAGACCGTTTATAATGGAAATGGACTAAATCCTCGCTAAATTCTGTTTTTATTTTAATTTAAATTTAATATCCAATTGAGTTCTCATTATTATACCTCACCCAATTTTTATTCTTTTAATTTAGATAATACGATTTATAATGTACTACTCATTATTTCACATAAATAAATAAATTGTAAAATAATATTTCACGCTCAACAATTATTCCAAAAAAAAAAAAATAGAATGATAATTTTTAAATAGATTATATTGCACGTTATTTCACTTTGATATATGATTTTTTAAATAGTTTTCCGTTTTCAATTTAAAATTTTTATTAATCATTCAATTAAAATTCCAAAAATATAAATTTAATACCCTTTGAATTCCCTATAAATTCGTGCAGAAATGGTTTACAGGACAAATTACCGTTTTAAGAAAATATTTTTTTATGGCAATTTTACGTATGATTATACAGCCAATTGGGGTTGCCTAATAGACTACATTTAAATTTTATTTACATTCTGTTCTAATTTTATTTACATTTTTCACCTTTCAATGAGAAGGGATCATTGAATTTGCTATTTCTCGGCACTGCATCCCAATTTAAGTTTTGTGATGATTGCACAAGTGCTTTTTAGGATGTGGACGAGCTAAATATTTAACGCGCTCGGGGCAATTTCGTCCCGTGTCGGTAGCGGAGTCCAAAAAACCGGATGTAAGATTTTGTTTTAGGTATTAATATGTATATACCAAAAAAACTATGAGGCATGTTTGTATATTTTCTTTAATTTTAGGAAAATTTAGATACATTTCAGACTATTCTTATGTATTTATATATAAAAACACAAATTTATAGCCCGGCCAACCGAAACAGTATTACGACTGGCGGAGTCTCCCTTTCGATGAAATTTTCTAAATGGAAGGACTGCCGATTGAAAGTTTGCGATCCAATGACCACATCCTGATCAAGCAACATGATCTCTATAAGAAGACTCAACCGATCGCCACAGTCGACTGACATTCACATCTGACGGTCGATCGACATAGCTGGCTTGCCTCAAGGCTTCGGGCGATCAACCAGACACCCACTTTTATTTTCAAAACTATATAAACTTGATTCTATCATTCAGACAGTTATAGTAAGTGTTCTTTCCTTATATGCGATTGTATTAGAAGACCCCTATAAATATGAGGTCATGACATCAATAAAGTAACTTTTTTGGACCCACACACTTGCGGATTCTGACGCTTAGATTTTCCACGTACACTCCTAAGTTCTCTCTCTCACTCACTTTATCCTCTCAACTCTAACTTTTGTGGCGTGTTCCACATAAAGACAGTCTTGGATACAAAATCCTAAAAGGTGGTGCGGTGAACGTGGACATGTCGCAGACGAGAAGCAAAACCAATTACAAAAGAGAATTGCAATAGAGAGATCCCAGAAATTCAATAGAGAATTCGTGAATCGAGAGATTCAACAACATATTCAAAAATTACGGGAACAGATCATGAGCTAATTTGAGGCCGTTCCAAAGGGAATCATGTAAAGAAAAGATCAGCCTGAGCTCCTTGGGGTCTAATCTAGGGGAATTCATTCTCAGTGGGTTCCATCGGAGCACCTACCGATGCCGATCAAATGCGTTGATAACCAAGAAAACAAAAGGGAAGGAGATTCCCCACAATTAGCCAACACCAGATCTACAACAACAATTATAAATCGAGTAGAGGTTGTCAAAGCACCAATTCATCATACCCCTGAAAGCGCCTTCACTCGACATATCAAGGAGGCTAAGCAACTGACAAAGCAAAGGATTCTCTATCTGGATCTTTAAAA